AAAGAGAACATAAAGCAGAGGTCTAAATTTCAAGAGTAAGAGCAAGTATGTAGTTTTGTACCTGCAGGTATAATTGCATCACTATTCTTTGTATTTTCCCCAACACTTCTTTTTCTTGCCTATTTTTATTAATAATGGCAAAAGGAATAATATAAATGAAATCGTGCTAGGTACTTCACCTCTTATTCATCTCCTTCAGTATACCTTTAAAACCTTTCCATAAAACAGAATATTGACTATCAAGAGACCAAACGTTAGACTTAAGTAGAAGCAAATAGGTCAAAATAAAATGCATTTAATTGGGAAACTATCTAAAATGTTCTCGTAACAAGCCAGACACGTTACTGGTATTAAACAGTACATTTGAACGCTCGGACCTAGTGTATAAGATAAAGGAGACCATAGAACACTTTGGAGGAAAAAATGCATGGGGAACAGGAGTTTGTATGTGTAGGAGAAAAAGTCAAATGCTTGAATAATTTAGAATCATAACATGGACAAAAATGAAACACTGGGACTTCAATAACTGGCTTTTTTTTTCTTAAACTCCAATTATTAAGATATTATGCTCCTGGCTAACATATCAGGTGCTGATAATGAATATTCAGGGACAGTACTTTTGCTGCATGAACGAAAATTGTTCTGTTCAAGAGATTGATAAAGGATTATCTTTTTTATATATCTATATATACGCACACAAAGATAATGAAAATTGGAACCAAAAATGAAGTTGAAGTCCACTCAAGTGATGTTAATAAAATGGAATTAAGTTTAGGAGGAAATATAACCTAATTGAGAGGTTCAGAGAGGCACATTAGTATATGCTGGAAAATTACTTTTTATATAGGAAAACTATTTTATGCTTTATATTATCATTATAATGCAGTCTCACACGAACAAATCAAAGATGTGCATGAACTTCATACTAGAGCTCTGTACTGTATGTATTGCTGATCATCGGTGCACACTGCATTCAAGTTACATTTGACCTGCGGATTTAACGTCACCTTAGCAGAGTACAAAAGGGCAATCAAGAAAATAATGATCTTGAGGTGGCAAAAAGGTTTCTTTACATTGCTTTTCTGTAATGAAGGAATCACCGTCTCAGAGAAGTCTTTGCAGGTGGCAGGCTTGAAAAGAAGACACTCTTTTAGACCTAGAGCAAGGGGATCAAAGACCTTGTAAAATTCAACTGCAGCTAACATGGAGGAATCTGACTTACTCCTGGTTTTAAATATGGCTAATACTTTTTGCAATCCTAGTTTGGATTTGAACATCATGGTTAGAAGTTATCGAGTCTTTTGTGAGCAGCTGAAATAACAAGGCCTGCTTTCCTGACAGTCGGCAGTCCCATACCCAGCTAGCACTGCATTGCTGCAGCATCCCCACTCCTGCACCATATTCAGGCAGAGGCTGCGATATTTCTGAGCTATACATTACTGACTGGTCAACTGGCACATAGATGCTGATTGCGTGGTCAGCAAGGAAAGCAGAAAAGATAGCCTTTGCGTTCATTTTGTAGTTCTTTCTTTAGTGGAAGCACTAATTTGCCTCTATAACTGCAGCCTCCCCTGAAATGCAGAAACACTAGAACTGAAATTTGTTGAAGCTGAACATCAGATCAAAAGCTCAAAGCCTCTAACAGCATGATTTCATAAGCCCTGCCTCCTTAAGAAGCCAGGATAAAAATACAGCTACATGAAAAATAAATGAGCAGCTTTTCCTGACTCTGAAACCAGAAAATAATGACACAAAACCAAAATCAAATGCAACAATATCACTTGTATTCCAGAACACCAGCATTAATGCTCCCTCTCACAGCTCCCAGAGACTGGTTAAACAAATGAGCCTTATAATGTATTTTGCAAGTGAAAGATCCTGGAGTGGAAAAAGTAAACTCTGACACCGAAGACCCTTAACAAAAATGCTGTTGCTTGCTCAAAGAGTTTTGCACTGAAGGGGATTCAGCCTGACCTCGCTCCTGCCACAATCAGTATTTTCTCTTTTGATCAAATGAGCGGTTCTGCGGCACTAGCGGTAGTCTGAGATTTTAGATCAAAACCAGTATCTCAGTACCTGGAAGTCAAGTCAGCCTGTGCAAGTCAAGAAGGGCTGGTATCGTGTGTGGACAGACCAGTCAGACATCTTTTTATACTAGAACCAAACACTGTTTAAAACATACCTAATACATTACATTTTCCCTGAACACCTCAGCTGTGCCTCTGCGATGCTGGGTGCGCAGCCATGTTGTCATCCTGGTTATCCTCACTACGGGCTTGGTGACATTTTTGGAACCACGTCACACTTCTAAAATTTTTGAAGTCTACAGAGACACCTGATTTTGGTTGTACACTGTGATCTCCCCGGCAGAACTTTTCCTGTTTTCCTGTTCTTTCTTATTTGTTACTGTTTCTTTCTTGCTCTAAGTTTAAAAATGAAAGCCTTTGGACTGAAGGAGGGTGAAGGTGGAATGAATAAACCTCTTGATTAAAACCAAAGAGAAAATCTTAAAACACAAACTCCCATGAACACAACATGTCTCCTCCCGCTGCATTATTACCGCTTCACAAAATGGCGACTGCCTCTGTAGACAGCTGCCTAAAAACACACACGTCCCTGCAGGAAACCAGAAATGCAACTCTTTTTTTTTTTTTTTTTTTTAAAAAAGCTTTCATTTTTCTCTCTTTACATTCAGTCCCTCGGGGACTCCTCAGAGCCCTCCACAAAGCCGTAACCTGACAAACAGAGAAGCAACGGGGAGCACACAGAGCTCTCCTTGTGCAGCGACCAGCCTTTCCCATCTGCCTTCAGCTTTTGGAAAACGCCGGGACTCTTCCCCACGCTGGCGTGGGGCGAGTGGGTGTGTGCAGCCCGGGCTGGTATGCGGGGCTCTGGGCTCCAGCGCCCTGTACAGTGCAAATAAATCTGCTGATTCAGCCGATATCACCGCGATCTTGCATTTCCAGAATTTTCTCCCTCTGCTTCCCAAATATAAAGGGACTTTTGTGCTAAATACTGAGCTGGAGCACTGATGGGCTCCGTGTAGGGCGCCATGTGGTATTTGGTTTCTCGCTACAGTACATGTTTTTATAATGATGGGGGAAGGGAAGGAAGGGAGCTGCTCTTACCAGCATGCCAATAATCTGTTGCAAAGGACTGGAGCTCTCGGAGCCAATTAGTCCTAAAGTTAACCATTTAACTGCTGAAAAACTCAAGTCTCAGACACAGTCTTAGCAAGATTAGGGACAGAAAAGACAGCGTGGATACCCCGGGCATCGAGCTCAGTGCAGATTTGTTCACAGATACATTTTTCTACGCTTTAGTAAATACTTTTGATATACAAACTGCCCACTGAAACTCCCTTTGGTTACAGCATGCAAAGGTGGGACAGCTATATCCAGAACACGTATACCACACAATTTTAATAAAAGCTGGATTTATTTCAGGATTTGTGCCAGCCTGTGGTGGAACCATGAAAGCCACCCACAGGAGCTGCATTTCCAATATGGATTTTGGGTGGGTACAAGTCCCTGCCACAGGAACAACAAACCCATGCTGCCCACCATGGGGTGGGAAGGGTCAGGGGGCAGCCCTGGCAGAGGATTCCCAGCTGTGGCACTGCAGCATCTCCCAGCAATGCTGCTATGGACAGAAAAACACTGTAAGGTGGGGCAAGCTCTAAGAAAGTGATGGCATAGTCTGTCTCCCTCTAAACGTGTATGTCTCCATCATCCCTGGGCTCTGCCCAGACACAAAGACATACTTGGGACCTCCCTGAACCAGTCTTGTTTTTCTAACCCCTTAACTGCATTAGAACAAGACCAAAAAATTTGTTCTTTTTATATGCTGCAGTTTAATTTGTCATAAACTTTTAATGCCTGAGGCAGACTAGCTCATGGCTTGTTGTGCACTGCTGAACAAGCCAGGGAAGAAGATGCACAGGGAATTCCCAGCCTTGGTCTTCTCCAGGGGCAAGTCTGAACACGGCCAGGGAGTACAGACAAATCAGTCCTAATGCAGAGCAACAGTAACATGCTCCCACTTGACCCAGCGGTCGGGTAAACCTATTTTTGTGCTCCTTTTTTATTCCATGACATACCGGAGAATATTGGATCAGACTCTCAGGGATGCCAGGAAGACCGCCGGACTTTGCACAGCACAGTGAAGTGCCCCGGCGTACTGAAAGCAGACTCTTCACCCCAGCTCATCAGCCCTAGCAAAAAAGCAGAGTTTATTTGCTTGGGAGGGGCTGTGCTAGTCCTGCAGGGCTGCTTCCAGTCCAAGCAAGCGCTGCAGTGTGCATGAAAGGCATATTCCTACACCGCTAGCCTCTCTAATGGGTGAAAATGAAGTCAAATCTCCCTCCTCGCCATGGAGAAGGTCCAGCGCATGTGGAAGGTGCCTGCTGCTCCCCTTGAAGGGCTATAGC